ATATATTATCCCCATTAAACAACTGGACCCACCAGAAGCCGCGTAATGAAATCGTTGAACACTAAAAGTTATTTCTTTACTAAAACGGCTAGGTCACATGGGCGCTTTTGATTTTTTTTCCATGTGTAACGCCACTCATGAGCGTTCCATACCATAGAGTAGATCATAAAATAATTTCAAATCACAGAGGTCCCTGCATTTAATTTATCGAGAGCGCTGATGATAAAAATATCACATCTGTAAATACAGGCCTATATATAAATCTTTAAGAAATGTTGACATTGGCATGGCTTGCCATTCTTCCTATCTATTGTAGCTGTTAAATACCTCCTGTAGATGTTTTTATATTTTAATATTAAATTTGGAATAAAAGAAGCGCAAAAAATAGGTTTCTAAAGAATAGGTTTCTACTATATTCTTAAAAAAGGCTTAATTTCGGTCTCAAAATAGGTTATAATTTGCAAACTATCTAATAAACGTCATGCCACCGTTGGTATTAAAAGTGCATTCTTAATGATAAAAAAGCATACACTGATATGGTGATGATGTAATGAACATTAAAAATATAGTTTCTCTTTTGTTCAGTTTTAATATGCTATGCAAACATATTTCTTGCCTTTAGCATTGATAGAAAGGAATATAATTATATTTCTCGAGTTACAATATCTCATGTTACGAAGTTTTGCCAGATGGTGTTGCTATACAAACGAAAACGTCGTTAATAGTCGTTTTGAAAGTTTGCTGTATAACCTACTGTTTTAAAAGTTTTATTTTTGATCAGTACACTGGATACTTTAGACTGATTAACACGTGACTGCATGCATTAAAATTTTAAAACGCATCAGTGGTTAAATTAATGCACTTTGAATGATTAACATATATTCATTTCTAATAAAAAAACCAATACCAGATTGGTAAAATTAACGTCAATATCGCCCAACCGGTATAGTATTTAAATACGCTGACTAACGGGCCGAAGAGCCTGGGCACGAATCCCGGAGAAAGTATGGATGTTTGTTAATGTATGGTGTCCGAGCGGCACGAGGCCCTTTTAATACGCGGCTAGCCTCTCAAGAGATTGGTGGTAGAGGAAGAGGGATAGGAAACCTTCGGATCCAACATCCCCGGGGTGCTTTATCTATCCCGTTCTTTCGTCGGTCTAATCAGTAATGTAAATCAACTGAGTTTTAAGTAGCAAATCTAAGTATAAATGAGATCTTCCAACTCAGACGCTGGCTCTGTATATTCCAGGCAGCTGAATAGCTTTGATAGTTTCAGTGATTTTCTAGCTTTTCCTAGTACGAGGGCAATCCCCCCCAAAAAAAGGTCTCCTATATTTTTAGATATACAAAGAACCGTTTATTTTCTATAATTGCTACATCAATTTAAAGATTGAAGAATGCTTTATTTTTCAACATAATCGCCATTTCGCTCGATGCAATTTTGTAGACGCTGTGGCAGTTTTACAATGCCCATGTGATACCAGCTTGCCGCCATGCCCTTCAGGAAGCGTCAATCGAGTCCAAGAAGTTGTCCTTTTCGTCTCCACAGCGCGAAGAAATTCGCGGGATGAATCAACCCGTTGCCGTTTGTGGTCTCCTGTCAGTATACGCGGCACCCATCTTGCACACACCTTCCAATATTGCAACTTTTTCGTTAAAATCCTGTGGATGGTGCTTCTGGAAACCTCAGGAACCAAAATGCTGAGAGCATCCAGAGCGATCCTCCGATCTTTACGCATGTGTCCTCAACTTTCGCGATTGTCTCGTCGGCAATTGACAGCCTCCCGCTCCTTTCTTCGTCATGAATTTCAGTACGACCTGCTGTAAACTCTCTACACCACTTGCGAACGTTTTTGACATCCATGGATGACTGTCCATACACTTCCGTCAATAGGCGGTGAATTTCAACCGGTTTAACACCTTTTGCGTTCAAAAATCGAATAACTGCGCGCACTTCACACTTGGCGGCAACGTTTATCGGGAGCTCCATTTCCAATGGCTGCCAAGCCAAGACTGAGCATCCGAGCGAAGCGCCTGCTCGCTTCTGTGGTAGCGGAGAAGGTAGGTAGGTAGGTTACGGAGGACTGGAACGCCTGGTGTCTAACAGAGGTAAACAGGCATGTGTTCCAAACCCTCCTCTTAACTACGGCAAAAGCTTCCTGCAACCACACGAGGCTGCACCAGGAGATTATTGAGGTTGTCAAAGGGAAGTACATGGCCTTACAAGGGCATTAGTAGGATTGTATTACAGTTTGAAGAGGAAAGCTGTGGTGTTACAGATAGTAGGTAGTTAAACTAAAAAATACTTGGATAATAAGACGCATTTAAAAAAAAAAAAAACATAAAAATGCAAAGGCAACAATACACAAAGCACAATGCGTAAAATGCATAAACAGAGAGCACAAAAAAACAGGTACATGCACATAGTCACTTAAGGCAGAAAAAGATAAATGGAGTACATGAAGTCACATGAAAGCTGGAGCACAATGTTAGTGTAAGGCAGTTCTGTTGGATATAAATACAAGTACATCTTGAATGATGAATGATGAGTTCATGAATACTCATGTGTGCAGAAGAAGAGTGCGGTTAGATTGCTAAGGCGTTGATTATTGTAGCATCGCTAAGAACATAGATAGAAACACTGATAAAAGGCACGAGGATGTTGTAGCACTAATTATTGGGCAGTGCCCCAGCAATGTGTGCACCGTGAGGCACACAAGCGTTCACTAACACTGCGTAAGAAGATGTTGTTCACATGCTGTTGAAGGGATTACACACGTATCATTATGGAGGCATAACACATCTCTCTAAGGAGATGCCACATATTTGCGAATTGTTAGTATTGCCACTTTAGATTGTGGGCAGGGGAGCTTAAACAGACAGTTGTGGTGAAGCCCAGATATTGTAAAATTCACTGGACTAGTCTTAGAGCTTATCGTCAGTACACCATAGCGTCATTTTAGCACGGTAGGCAAAGGTCTGTGCCCAATGCCGCGATGGTATTCATGATGCTGGAGATTGAATTAACCGCTCCTTTATGCGTTATAAGGAACCGGTGATAGGCGTTCCTATTATTTGTAGGTAGCGGAAGATGGTGTGCAGCCGTCAAAGGACATTCAAATACGTAATGGTCTGGTGACCCTTCTGATCCACAGACACAGATATCTGTATTTGAGATGCCGTGGCGATTGTAATAGCTGAAAACGGGCCGTGACCCGTGATGAAGTAGGTGAGAGGTGCTACGGCAAAGAGTCGATCGGCGGAAACTTTCGGGAGGTAGGTGAAAGTCCGTCTGCCTGTCTCGCATTCGGTCCACTCACGTTGCCATTGGTGCATTCCTTGCTCTCGTAGGAGGCCCTTTAGATAAGAGTAGGGCGCAGGTACGGTGATGGGTTGGGCTGTCGGATTGGAGATTGCATCTTTGGCCAACGTGTCAGCAGCCTCGTTGCCCTCATTATTCGCATGGGCTTTAACCCAGACTAGATTGAAATGGTAATGAGGGTGTTGCATAAGGAGATGTTGGAGACTGAGTATGAGAGGTGAGACATGATGATGGTTCTCAAGTGCAAGTAAAGTTGAAAGGCTATCGGTATAGATATTTGCTCGTGGGATCTGGCAATCTATGAGATGTTGCACTGCTGCCGTAATTCCCAGTACTTCCGCCTGGAAGATGCTATTGTGAGTGCGAAGTTGTCCTTGCCAGTCGTGTACAGTTTTGCCATTCTCATAGTGCACAAAAGCACTGCCTACACCATTCTCCTGCTTTGAACCGTCTGTGTAGATCTGGTTCCCATTCAGTGGTGCGTGTGTCGAGGTGTGAGTCTGTTGCTTGTCAATTTTGATGTGGGTTCCACTTCCTCTGAGAGCTGGATGAGTATGGGTAGAAGTGGAGGGACGTTCGAACTGGACTGGACTGTAGCTGGTATTTGCGTAAGTTGCATCTTTGCGTAGGTGGATCAATTTAGTAAAAGTTGCCTCCATCTCTGCTTTTATATGGAGTGCCGGCTAGAACTGTTGCTGCACTGGTGGCGGTTGTGCGCTAGGCTTTGCTTAATTGCAGGGCGAAGGGGCGTTGTAGCGTTGTAAGTTGCCTGATCTTGCGAGTACCCATTGGCTGCGCCCAGATCACTGCAGCGTATAAAGCTATTTTTTCTACAACTGTGAGGTATAGCACTTTTTGGATATGGGGGGTTTTGGCCCCAGTTGCGACCTTGAAATTGTCTTGCTAATGCGGGCGATAATTGACGTCTTGTTTCTGGTTTCCATGATATGCGGAATCCAGGTGAGACCTTGGTCCCATACTACCCCTAAATACTTGAGATTCCGCGCAATTTTGATGTTTCGGCCTAGGAGTTTTATGCATGGACGACGAGTTGGATTGGTACCTCTCGTTCGGGAATTATTATTGCTGACGATTTTTTCCTATGGAGATCGTGTGAGCTTTAATTTGTTGCATGCGGTGGTAAATAAGGTGCAGGTCTCTGTGCTGTTGCGTTCCAGTTCTTTCCTGGTGCGTCCTCTTACGAGCAGGGCTACGTCGTCTGCATAAGCAGTGATGTTTGTATGCTGTGGCCAGTTGGTTTCAAGGACTGAATTGAAGGTGAGGTTCCAGAGTGTCGGTCCCGCACAGGACCCCTGCGGACAACCTTTTTCTTGTACCTTGGATGTCGTACCGTCGTTATTTACAAGCTGAATATGGCGGTCGTGGAGGTAGCTGTTGAAGATGTTGAATAGGTTGGAGGGGCAGTGTGCTCCTCTGAGGGCCTGCTGCTTAATTGCTGGCCACCAGAGGGTGTCGAATGCACTCTTTAGGTCTATAGAAATGAAGGCTGTGTGCATGTCGCTGTTTTTATTGCGTAGTATTGTATCCTGAATATTGTAAAGGGCAATGTGTCGTGGAAAATCCTGTGCGGAATCCATACTGCCGGGGGCTGAGATGGTTAATTCTGTGCAGGTGGTGCTTGAGCCTGTTAACGAGGAGTTTTTCATAAATCTTGCCTAAAGCAGAGAGGAGGCAGATGGGCCGGTAAGAACTTGGGTCTTGTGGGTTCTTATTCTTTTTAAGAAAGAGAACGACATGTCCTCTTTTGAAGGCTGTGCTGGAAAGATTTGTTGGTGAAGAAGTTGATTGAAGTAGGTCTTAAAGAAGGAGGGGCGTGCTTTATAAGCTGTATGGATGATTGAATAATCTAAGCCGTCAGGTCCTGGCGCTTTTTTCCGAGGAAGGTGACGGAACAGCTGTTTGATTTCTTTATCGCTAAAGGGTACATCGGGAGGTGTCGCAGGAATGGTGGTGTTATTGCGAACCTTTCGTTGTTCTATCGTGTCCTCTTCTGGGTCGTCGTTTGAGAAGACGGTGTCCAGAATGGTGGAAGCTGTGCTCTGCACGATGTTGGTGGTAGAATCCATGGTGGGTTGTGCGTGGATCTGGGCCGGGTTAAAAATCTTATTCGACGAGATTTTGTGTAGGATCCCGTAAGGATTGTTGTTGTTGGTACAGAAGGTGCGCCAGCTGGTGACTTTAGCCGTGATGATGTTTCTTTTGTATGCTGCACGCTCTTTACGGTATGTCATGAGTAGGTGTGTCTTTTCTTCTTCTTCGTTAATAGTGGCGCGGAGACGTCGTCGAAGGGCTCTGCATTTTTGCCTTTGCTGCTGCCTCAGCTCTTTGGTCCACCAGCTGACACCCTGTATTTTCTTGGCCACACGGATAGGAAGGTGATTTTTGCATGCTTCGTGTAAGCTTTCTATCAGATGATTCGTGTAGTGCTCCATGCCGTCCGGGCTGCTGAAGTTGTAAATGTACTTTTCTTCTTCTCTGAGTAAGCGAGTGAAGGTGTGGGTAATGGGACGAATCTTATTGCTTGGTAACTTAAAGCGTCGTAGGATAGTAATGGAGGTGTCGCAGTCTACTTGAAAATGGATGTACTTATGGTCTGAAGCACTTTCCTCGTCTAAGATGGTCCAGTTTTGGATGAAGGATGCTATGCTGCTTGTAGATATGGTGAGATCCGGCCAGCCCTTTCCGTAGGTACTATCGTAGGATGGTGGCGCATTTGGTGCGTTCAATAGCTGCAGGTCTTGGATTGCTAGGAAGTCTTCGAGTTCTTTTCCTTTCATTGTGGTGTCTGCGTAACCCCATATGGAGTTATGCGCATTGAAATCACCACCTAGGAGGAGTGGTGTGAAAGGATACTTTTCCTTGGTTTCCTGTATGTTGACGATGGCGTTGCTGATGTCTTCCGTGGGGGAAGAGTAAACAGAGGCAGCGATGATTTGTATGTTGTTGTAAACGAGTAAAATGGCGATGTAGTCTCTTTTGAGTGTGATAACGAGAGGGGACCAAGAAGGATTGCAACAGGCGATAACTGCTCTGGGGGCTTGATCATTCGTACCTGCTTGTGATTGAAAAATTTTCCAGGCTGTTGGAAGGCTGGCTACACGACGATCTTTACAGTATGGTTCTTGTATGAGAAGGAGGTCTAGGTTGTGGGGTGATGACATGCTGGACCAGTTGGGAGGCAGCTGCTTGAGCTCTTTGTAAATTGATCTGAGCACAGCGTATTGGTCCATTTGTCTTGGGAGTGTCTGTGATTGCTGTTGTGAGGGTATCGTTGCTGAGATTCTGTAAATCATCCATAGGTGGTATTGCATTTAATTCTGCTGATGTACCGTCCATAAGTTGGGCAGGTGACATCGTAGGCTGGGTGGTTGCAGGGTGATTTGCTTTTTGTGCGGTAGTTGTAATCCGCACAGTTGATGCAAGTGGCCTTTTGGGATTTGCAATCTGTGATCTTGTGATTGCCTGAGCAGTATGAGCAATATGCTTTGTTTTTGCATCTGTCTTGGGTATGCCCAAACTCCTGGCAGCGGTAGCAACGACGACGGGTATTGAAATGTTCAGCGCGATGCGGTATGCCCGCCAGCCGAGATACAATCTTGATGATTGCATGATGGTGTGGAAAGCTGCGGGTTGGCATTCAACGATCCACTTGACGCCATTGCCCCTATCTTTTAACCTATAGAGGACTTTGGCGTTGCTTTTGGAGATCTTAAATTCTGAGATAATAGCTTGCTCTATTTCCTCCTGAGTGATATTAGGAGGGACGATGTGGATTGCTACCCGTGGGAGTCTAATGATTGGCAATCTCGTTTTAACGATTTCTCGACCCTGTGTACTTTGGAGTGCTTGGGTGGAGCTTTTCGAGATCTTCTTTAGTGGCACAGTCGACTGCTAGTCCTTCCTCCTGGATGTTACGGACTGTCGCGATTTTGATGCCCAATGAGGGAAGTGGGAACTGTGCGCTCAGCTTCTCTTTGAGCTCCTTTCTGGTTGTTCTGGTGTCCTCTTCGGATCGGATAAACAAGCAGAGTGTGCTTATAGGATTGTGAGGTCGCTTGAGCGTATATGTGCGCGTGATGTTGTAAGTAGGCAGAAGAATAGGTGTGGCAATGGGTGGTGAGGTGGCTAACTCCTGATCTGTGTTAACTTCTTCCGCATCAGTTGTTGAAGGTACGGAGGACAGTCCTCTGAGGGCCAAATTTCGGAGAGCTTCCAGAGTTGTTGTTAATTGGTCTCTGAGATCAGCAGGTGTAACAGGAATCGTTTGTTCCTGATAGTTGTACCAATGTTTTTTTGCTTCTTCAATAAGTGAGTTCACTTTATCGGAGTAGTTATATTGCACTGATTCGATTAGTATAGCTGTGTCTAAGTTGCTATGGTGCACTGACGTGTCGGCTTCTGGCATGATACACTTGTGTGGTTGGAGCTATGTAACACTATGATCACTATGTGAAATGCCGAGGTCTGTAATAAATTTCTGATAAGTAACACAAGTACTGGAGTAAATTTCTAGGGGGACTGTAGATAGAGTATTAAAATAAAAAGACCTCTTGGTATCTAACACAAAGAAAATTACTAGCACAGTAAGTCGCAGATAAGCGATGCTAACTGAGATAACATTATTTACCATGCTAGAGGCATAATTGTGAATGCAGAACAAAAATGTAATTAAAAAAAGGGGGGGAATGATAGTGATTACTATGACTATTAAAATCAAAGCAACATTGTAAACAGGTAAATTTAGCTAAACATCAGCAACAACAATAACACAGACACACACACAAAAAAAAAAAAAAAAAAAGATACTAAACAATTTGCTAATGCTGGCAATACTCTAGACTGGTAAAAAGTATAAAGCTTACTGAATATAAATAAATTATATAAATTATAGCTTAAGTAGCTGCTGAATGGGGATAACTACTGAGGAATTGGAAAGCTACAGATGAGGTAGCAGGAGGAATGAAAAAATAATGAGCTTAATTAACTAAGTAGTTAAATATGTTAGTGGAAGTTGAGATAGAGGAGGAGGAAAGGGGAAGGGAGATTGGCGTAGAGTTGTTAGCGCATTCGAGGGATGAGAAATTAGAGAAATTGAGATTAGATAATGCAATAAATTAGAATTATATTAGCCGTATGCAGTAAGCTGGCGAATTATTGAAAGTGTTAGTGGGAGTTGAGATAGAGGAGGAGGAAAGGGTAAGGGAATTGATGTGAAATTCGTAAGGAGTTGTTAACGCATTAGAGGGATCAGAAATTAGAGAAGTAAAAAAATAAATAAATAAATAAATAAAAATAAAAAAAAAGAATTATATAATATAATACAATAAATTGGAATTATATTAGCCTTAAATTATATAATACAATAAACTAGAATTATATTAACCGTGTGCAGTAAGCTGGTAAATTATTGATTATACATTGCAGGAAATTAAGATTATATTAACATGTAAAACACAGTAAATGAGAATTATAATACAAAAATAATGCAGAAGATTAAAGTTATGTTAACCGAGGAGTATAAAACTGGAAATCATAAAGAATATACTACGAAAAGAATAATAATAGTAAAAAAAAATAATAATAATAATTTCAATTTCTAGAAAGCACAATAACTGAGCGTTATAATGAGATTATTACTCGGAAAGCACACTATTTCAAAATTAAAATGATTATACAAGCAGAAAATTAAGATTAAAATTTCCGAGAAACATAATACTCAGTTAATATTCTACGTACTACGCGTTAAAAATGTTACTGAAAACAGTAAGCAGGAAATGTGAGAATCATTATAAAAATTTAAAATATATATATACAGACAACAAGCAGTATGTTCAAAAATTAGCCATGGGGTGCTAGAAGAAAAGATCTAATAGTTGAGGAAATGCTTTTGGGTTATATTTATTCTTATTGCATTCATTTAAAGTTTTTGAATTCTAATCTAAATACTCGGCTATATCGATTGCATTCTGAAAGGTTTAAGCGAATGTTTTAGTAGCTATGGTGCAATTAGACTTAACCACATAATTTTTATTCACATATTAACAAAGAAGAACTCTTAACATCATTTAGCAAAATATACTTAAACGATGATTGCAATAAACCATTTGGCAGAATATTTTTGTATTTTTCGAAGATGATATTATTGATCGGAAAATAACAAAACAAAAGACTTCTGATTATTCAGTTTTTGAATACAATCAACATCAGTGTTTGGAAAATATTTTTAAGAATTTTGTACGCGGGTAGACGATTTTAGTGCATATTTTGTATTTAGCTGCGCAGTGTAAGAAAAATATAAAAGAAACAAGCTATGCCGGAAAAATAAGAATAGAGGGGCAAGTGCATTTAATATTGAGCAAATGTTACTCAATTATGGCAAAGTACACGAGGGCTATCTGCCTAAAGGGAGGGATGCCTTCGTGGAGGATTTTTAAGGGAAACTGGCTCGTATAGACGTTACACATGGGAAAACCACAAAAACGCCCATGCAGCCAGCCCGTGCGCGGAATTTGAACCTCGGGCCGAACTACCAGTTTTCAGCGTCTTTACCGCTCGGCCGCTGGGGAGCGCAATAATTTCGAGAAGAAGAAAATATTAGTAATATCTCAGTGGCTGATTGAAAACTATATAAGGCCGGAGAAAGCATCTGCTCTTAGCTATTGCTGTTACGAGTTCTTAGTTCAGCGTGAAATGACATATCTCCGGGTTAGCTTTCTCTTTAGATGCACTTTATATTGCGTTGTGTTTAACATTCTTAGTAGTCTGAAATGTAACTACTGAACACTGTTAGACTGTGAACCCCTGCACGAGTACTTCTGTGGAAAATTCAGATTTGAAGTGTTTCTTTTGATAAAAATAAATTTTATTAATCTATCGCGGACTTGTGGGCATTCAGTCTTTTACTGACTCTTACGCGCGCATCAGTATAGCAAAAATTTACATTTCTGCTAAAGAGAGAATATGTTTATAAAAATAATAATGTACTTACTCTAACATTATGCCCCACTTACAGTTGCAGTTACTGTGGTATATATTATTAAACTACAAAACAGTAAGCTTGAAAATATGTTACCTAGCGAAAAACACAGGCTACTGTTATTGAGAGAAACGGCAGATATTTCAAGGATTCATTTCAGAGAAATATTAATTTTCTTTTAAAGAACGATGACGCTATTCATTTGGCAGCAATGATTTAATAATATGTCATGAATGCAAGGCTTAATATTTTGTATATATGTATAAATGATGTGCTTTTGCTACACATATGTTGGAAGTAATACATATGTACGACGTAGATATATGAAATGAGAGTGCACACACACACATAGATGCATAAAACATGAAAGCATACTTAAGTAGAAACATAAAACATGAAAATGCAATTAAGTGAGACTAAAGAAAGCCATTAATCCAGACACATGACTAAGCTTAAGAAAAAAATTAAACACTTAAATTATGCGTAGGAATTAAACAACAAGGATTCTGAATTTTTTTGCAACGCTAGTAAATATCAGCAAATAATTAGTGTATGTAAAAGTCTGAAACAAAACCGTAAAGACTAAGCTAGTAAACTTAGCAACCAAATAATAAGTGATTTTTTATATTAATGACATTTTAATGAAACAGAAGTAATTGAACAGCCCAAAATGCACATAAACAAAAAACATTTTTTTTTAGTATTGCCAGCTTTATTTTTTAATGTATTTTCTTTATCAAAGCTCTATGAAAGAGCGGAAAAAGAATCTGGGATTGAACGAAAACATTTCTGAAACATAGC